AATACAGAGCGAGTAAATGAAACAATTCGAACTTGAAATCGCAGTACAGTTTTTAAAGTACAATACCGAGTTAATGTTGGCTGTTATATGAGCAATCGAATAGGTACATTTGTGAAATGTGCACGATGCTTTTTTTAATCAAATGATGAATGTTTACATCCCAACATGATCCATCGTTTGATTACTGTTTTGTCATATTAACATTTGCAACAAACAGGTCCAAAGTGTAACCATCCAGAGTTCCTGCATGCCCCCACACATCGCCAAGAGGTTGTCGATGGGTCTGCAAGGATATCCAAATCTACTGAAGCTCGAGGTGGCCGATGTACAGAATCCAACATATCCTGTCATCCTACTCCTGCTCAATAAGCTGTCTCTTCATCTCGCTCCCGAGGGCGCCCTCTCAATTATACCCGACCTCAATCAGAGCATCTTTAATGGAGTAAGGATTTCGAATATTCGTTTTTCTTTACCATCTCACTCCTCCTCCTCGTCTTTCTTCTTCTTTTTTTCTCTTTATTCTTCTTCCTCTTTGTCTTCTTTCTCTTCCTCTTCGTCATCTTCATCTTCCTCCTCCTCTTCTGTTTCCTCCCTTTTTCATTTCCTTTCCGTTTGGACCGTTTGAGTTTAGTTTAATATACGGACTAGTTCGAGTCAAAGTGTTTCCACACTGCTCAGTTGGAGCATATCCTTTGCCAAACATCAAACATCATGCCGTGTTAATGTGAACATGGAACACCCATTTTGTCATCAACATGGATATCATAACCCCGACTTTAAGGCTGCTACGGGCATGACATATGACCATCAATGAAAATACCAACAAAAAAAAACATCAAGTAAAAAATACAAATCAAGAGCACATTAATTGTTTTAAGAAGTCTTTAAATTGAGATCAATACATGTCAAACATCATAGTTGTTAATTATTGGTACTATATACTGCTTCATATATTTAGCTTCGGCTTGTCGATCTATCGGACTGCTACCTGTCACCGGAAATGACGGCCGTGCTGTGGACTGCGCTGGCCAAATGCCCAAACATCGAGGTGATGACTGTCAAGAACTCCACGATCCTCAGCCGGGACCTACCGCGCCTCGGGTGCATCGCAGTCCTACAGGCGAGCTTCCGGTCCCCGGTCCTTCCGGAGGATGTGGGTTGGATGAGCAGCATCCTTGGAGACGCGAAGTACTCGACAGAGGTGAGACTGACCATTGGGGACGGAGAAGATGGAACCATACGACGTGCAGGAGTCGGTGTCCAGGAGCACGTCCTGATGGTGGATGACAGAATTGACCTCACTAACGCAACGGGAAATACCATGAAGGTTCTTAACGTGCTACCAGACTCGTACAGAAGGAAGGTAATGCAGACCAGGGGTGTGTTTCACAGAGATTCTAAGTCGAACTTAACTCTAAGTTGGAATTATATATTTTGGAGAGCCATTGTAGCTTTATAATTAAATATATTCAAAAGCAAAAATCGAAGTATTTTAGACTTTTCATGAATTCCAGATCAATAACATGAAATATCCCATGATAATAGAAAATAATAATGATTTGAATCAACATTGTATGCCTTTCAAAATAACTTTTACAAATATTTTCAAGGATGCTAACGGCTTTCCATAAATGTTAAGTCCAACTTAGGATTTCTGTGTAACACTCCCAGTTAGTTATCCGCCAACATCATGAACCCAAACATTTTACGTGCTATCTTGTTTATAGATTTATACTTCATGCTAAAATTCTAAGGAAGTCGGTCGAAAGAATTTAAGATGTATGCGTGTACCATAACAGGATATAGACCACGCTGTATCCATTAAGTTGTGATATCCATTATTTTGTGGTTCCTCTCTTGCACTCTCGCTCTTCTGTACTTTTGTCCTTCTTTTCATAGCACTTTTTCCTATGTTTCTTTCTTTCCAGACACATTATTTACCCTTGATTTAATGAATTTTGTATCGTTATGTTTAATTACAAAAATGTAAACATGTGTTCACATTCTTTTAACTCTCGCTACCCTTCATCCTTATCCTTCAAAATAGTCGTTGTTGTTGCTGTTGGTAGTGCTGCTGCTTTCTTGTGGTGCCATTTATGTCCTTCTTTGTTTTACGTAATACATGTTAAGACGTACCTTGACACCTTTCTCTTAAACACGTATAGGTCAGGACGCTATGCATCAAGAGAACCCGCTTCACCGATGACCTGATCCGCCCCTTGCTCGACTTCGTCCACTCCTTGATTCGCCTGGAGACTTTCTCCACAGAGGACCGCAACATCCCAGAGGAAATCAAACAGCTTCAGGTCTTCAAGGGCACCTTCCAGAGGTAGGATGAGGGGCATTGATGTTTAATCAACCATGGACCCGTTTCACAAAGCCTTTTTTCAATGACAAATGATATAAATCAGTGACAAATCTGCTGATAACCAATCAGAATCAAGGATTTCAGCAGCTTATAACAAAAACTGTCATTTGTCACTGATGATATTAAAGTTTTGTTAAATGGGGCCCTGTTCGTCTACTATTTATTAGTCTATCTCCATATGGTCTACACCCAGCCTTTGTACTATCAATATGGTTTAATAATAATTCCGTGTACTTGTCATTTGGTCTATTGTTTATTCAGTCTTATTACCAGTTAGTCAAATCCCCAGTTTGTCTAACACCCATTTCGTTAACCATCTATTGGGTATAATAGTCATTTGGTGATCATTATTTTGTATGATTAAAAGAATATTTATACCACATGGATAGTAGAAAAAACGGGCACCAGATAAACTGGGAATTAGACCGAATGAAATAAGACATAATGATAAAAAGGCTTGGTGTAGAACAAATGGGAACATAACAATTTGGTAGAAGACGAACTGGTTTTAGATCAAACGTCTAAAAAACCTACGTGGATACTTCCTATAACAGCACGATAAGTAACGAGGGAACCAATAGTGTTATTCCAATACCCCCCCCCCTCCCCCACAACTTTTTGTATCCATATATCGAAGTAGACGATATCAAAATCCATTGCGGAGGAACTTTTCTTTAAAATGTTCTTAAAATTTACTCACCACGAGTGTATTAATATATCGTCTGACTATTATTATATTAATGAAATTTGAACAAAATGTTTATATTAATGTGTTCTGTTTTTGTTTAAGGGAGGGGGTTCACGTCTGATGTCGAAAACTTCCTGATCTTATACATATCGTTGTGTTTTGGGGGGGTCATTCGTTTTCGAACTTTAGCCAATCAATCGGATTTCTAGGAATAAATTGAAGTGCACAAAGATGAATAGGAATAAAAACAAAATAAGGATTAATATGGACGGAAAATATTGCATAAGCACCATGGACCAACGATTTGTTTTTGTTTAGACCAACGAACGAACTTCCAACCATGGGGGAAGATGGGGTTCTCAAGGGGAGTGTTTCTTCCCCTCTACGGGAGGAGGAGTTCGAGCGTCTAAGTAGTGCCTTCGGCGGCCCCACCACCATTCAACAGGTGCACATTATCATCGAGCACGACCGAAGATCGGAGACGAACTTTCAGGAGCTGCTGGATATCACTGGGGACAGCATGGAACTCTGCAATGTGTCTTCGACTTCCATTGAGATCATGAAGATGTTCCCGGCGTCTTTTAGACAAAAGGTAGGAAAACAGTCCCAACGGTTTACATAAGGAACTGATTTTATGATCATCAACAACAATTTTGTCTTTTGATAATACGGAGTTGAGCATAAACTAGTATGGAACTCTGCAATGTGTATTCGGCCACCATGGAGAACCTGAAGATGGTCCCGGCGTCTTTTAGACAAAAGGTAGAAGAACAGTCCTGTCGGCTTACGTAAGAATTAATATGACCATCGATCTTGATAATACGGAGCCCGGCATTAACAGCTTAAAGCAACATAAACGAAAGCGGAATTTAAGTATCGTGTGAGATGATTTCGATGCTCAGCTCTTCATATGAAAACTGTCTTGTGGCATAGTATGACATTTTAAAATAAAAACTGCATTTGTTTTTGTCTTTAAAGATGCACTCTGCACGCATCAAGAACTGCAATCTGTCCGACGATCTTTCACAGCAGCTATCGGAGACACTTCAGTCAATGGATGAACTGGAGATGTTCTTATCTGAGAATAGGTCAGTTTATGCAGATAATAATAACACTAATGATAATAGCAGTAACAATACTTATGGATTCTTCCTTAGTCTGCCCAAATTGATACTCGTACGCTATACATTAACCCAGTTTTATATTGTTGCCCCGAAAGCACTTTTATCAATGAATGAATTCCTTCCAGGTACCCATTTACCTCACCTGAATTTGATAATGCAAATGTAGAGTACTGTCTTGGCAAAGGAAAAAAGGGCCACGGTGAGACCTGAAACACGGACCATGGAATCCATATTCCGGTGACGTGTTCACCACACCGGCTTACCTCCACAATGAATGACTATTTCCAGAAAATGTTATCTGATTCCAATGACCGGGGTAATAGTATATTTGTAAAGCGCTTTATACATTTGTATTAGGCGCTATAAAAAAGCTAACTATTATTATTATTTTTATATTTATATTTCCTATTTTCATGTGTCAACAATTCGATGTACTTGAATAAACAAATGATAGCAGCCAAAACATTATCATGAATCCTTAAATGATAATGTGTTAACTTCATTGTCAATACATATGTTTAGTTCTTCGCACACATTCGTATGTGTGGAACTTCTGTGAAGTGAAGCTTCTGTGCAGTACTTCGTATTCATGTATAGGAGTTTCCTTAAACTTCTCTCACGTTAAGCTACCCTCCCCCACGATAAAGTGAAGATTATCCACTCTTCAGGTATGTTATGTCAAAAGGTATGTTATGTTGTATCTAGTAGGGAGCAACAAGAAACATCCATACATTGTTTTAGTATTTCTGACTCAAAGGGCACATACTGGTATATTTAAAAGGTATTTCAATAATGTTTCCATAATGTAACATTCGTTTACACAATCTAAAGAGAAATCTAGCACACTTTTTGTTATTCATGATGAATATTATGAAGCTCAATTACTTAATTACTAGTGCCCTCGGTCATAAAGCCCTTCATCTAAAGACTGTCACCGTACTCGATCTTGGACGCTTCTCCTCGACCTGCTACGATTGGGAGTGGCTTGACAGCGCGGAGCTGCTCGAAGAACTGCATCTTACCTTTGCATCCTCACTACCACCTACTCCCACCTCGCCCACCACGCCCACATCACCATCCACCCCTAAAGGTGCGACGGCCACACCCTTCCCTGCGATCAGCCCGATCTACGAAGACATTCCGGAGAGGTTGGATCCTTCGGCCGCTGACAAAGTATCAGGGGAGGAGGACTTCCATCTGCAGGTCTCCGTTGGCAGGCTGGTGATGACAAGGATGTCTTCCTGCAGCTTGTCTGTGATGTTGCATCTGCCTAAACATCTGAAAGATGAGGTAATTGTACAACCCTGGGCCCTGTTTCGTAAAACTTGATATCAATAACAAGTTGCAAGCTACTGTTATAAGCTACTGACATCATGGCATCTGATTGGCTAAGAGCAAATTTGTCATAGAAATTTAGCATGTGTTATAAATAAAAAGTTTTATGAAACGGCGCCAAGTTTCGTACACGCATTGAAAAGCCCATAGAGTGATATGAAGAATAGACACGTGTTTGGGTATACGTGAGGCTACAAAAGTGTATGTCAAGAAAAAGTGATCTTAAACTTGTAATCATGAGGCCTGTATGTTAAGTAATCTTAGGAGAGGATTGTAATCCCTGCCATTATTTGATATTTACCCATTGCTATTTTTATGTAGGGAAATCAGAAGAAACAAATAATGACAGAGCTTTGAATTGTTCTCATCTTTCCTAAGGCAAAGCGTTTTGAGAGGGTATGCGGTACTGAAAAGCGCTATTCAAGAAAGAAGTATTATTATAATTAAACTAATTCTTCTTTTGAATTTGATTGTATATGTTTGCACACGCAAGAATTACGGACTAGTGTTTATCTCTCTCTCTCTCTCTCTCTCTCTCTCTCGTTTGTACTACGTCACCAGTTGCGTCATGTACGAGTCCGTTCAACCAAGCTGACTGTTGACGTACTAGACCGCCTCGCCGATGTTCGCCTATCTTTCAAGCACCTCGCGCCACTGTCTCTGCAGGCACTGTACCGAAGACCTGTCAAGTACGGGTGCATATTTCAACCAGGCGCGATAAAGCCCGTCGTGGGACAGTGGGACTGAACGAACATAAACCAGGCACATCGCAATGAATTTCCAGGCCAAATTATGTATGGGTGACCCGACACTTTGCACCTGCGACCTTTTTTTCTGGCATTTATTTCGTAAACGATTGATGGTCAGGGTTTGATTTGCATTTGGGTTTTTAACTTTAGGTTATGTAAGCACTTGGGCCAGAAACAGGTGTAATTTGGTCCACAGATAGTTCGTGTTCCCCATTCTGTCAGTAGGAATTTTACCGAGGAGCAATTGTTGTTGAAGCCTGTGTCGAACACCCGAGTCTATACACTGTATATTTTACTTTGTGTGAATATTAAACCACATTTGTATGCATTATTGCCAAAGTAAATTGTACATAATTCAGCCATTTTGGCTGCGAAGTGCAATTATAATAAAAGCTTTCCAATCAATCCAAAAAAGTCTATGTTTCCATAGAAACTTAGAAACAATTTTGGTATGTGTTAGATTGTATTTAGGTTCTGTACGATAGTTACAACTCCCAAATGATTAAATTCAATTCAAAGTAACTCAAATTGCATTTAAAAGTCTAAATTCAATTTGTACCTGATTTGCTTTAACAGTATCATAAGTTTTATAAATATATATTTAAGAAAGAAGTTTATGCATAATTATGTATAATCATATGGCTATATAATGCAGAGGTTTATTTCATATACATTCAAATGAACGAAATTGTATGACACAAGCAATAATGTATGATGTAGACTTATATGCAGTTTCGCCAGATTTCACGCAACCCTAGCTGGGAATTTCGTTTGTGGACAACTTGGAGGAAAGAAAAAGAAAAAAATGAATGCAGTGTAAACATGTCAGATTACAACCCATAATGCTGCGACATGGGTCCATTGTATACATGTATTGTCAAAACTTGTATTAGTTGTTATATATAATCCTCATCAAAAGGCATCAATAGGAATGCTGTTACTACAAAGATTTGTTTCATTATTCAGTACTCTCGAAAGTCGATTAACTTTAATTGTGTAGACTTAAACTGTATAGTGTATATGATTACATTTATCTTACTCATTCTTAAAGGTGATGGTTTTCAAGTTATTTACTTTCTATGACTTTATACATTTGATTTGCTTTTAGGTCTTTGTTGTATATGCTGAGCTTTAAATAGTACATTATCCATGAGTTTAAAGGGATCGTTTAACAATGTTAAATCTGAGATACACGGCCCTATGTGTTATCAGTGTCTGTGATATGGTGTAGTTTGAAGCCCTAAAATATTGCGCTTCAAAATGATCAAAAAATGCCTCAAAAAAGTAAAAATCTTTGAGTGACCGGCTTTACCATACTCGTTTTTCCCAATAGACTGTAGTGTTATGAAAACCGTCAGGCGAACGGTTTTCAAAATTTGTAATTCCAATCAAAAATATCTTGATATTCAGACAGGCGATCGGCTTGTAAAAGTCATGGGGTTCCTGACTGACCTAAAGGTTTATAATTATCATTGCATCATGAGCTAAATCCAGATTTTTGTTTTAGAATCTGAGACAAAGTTACCGGATCCCTTTAAGGTTTTACAAATGTTGTGTTTAAGCGAAAAGCCTTGATATTTTCGAAAAAGGGTAGGGTTTGCTCCTGCGAAAAATAGAGGTTTTCTTTGAAATTTACTCTTCTATTCCCTTACCATTATTTTCTCTTGATGTGTATGTATATAATTGTATATATACACACACATACTTACACATTAAACCCTCACAGTCTTTCCATTAGATTAAAAGGATTAGTCATATCATACTACATTTAGTTTTTCAAAAGATGTTTGTTCTCATGTTTTTTTTCGACAGGTTTATTATTAAGAGTTGTTCTGTATTTGTGTATATATTTCTCCAGCATTGATTTGTATCTGTATCGCATCCGTATGGTCTAATCAGTGTCTTATACCCCATTCACACCTAAGAGACAGACAAGAGACCGATGCAAAATTTATATTCGTATATTGTCTTATTGACTATTAACAAATACATGTATGCAATTTATATTTGTTGATTTACATGCATTTTTACAACTTCCTCTTTTACTTCTTTTGTTCATGTTTCTTCTCTCCGTTTTCCCGACTTCATGTTTTATTATGTTTTCTTATTGTTGCTGCCTAAGCAATATTATCATATTAACTATATATATTTCAATATTGACAAATCAATTGTAACTGTATGTTATGTTTAAAATATGCAATGATTATTTTAATGTACACACGACCAATTCGGCCATTGGGCTGCGACACATGTTTTTAATCAACCTTGAATAGAATTGAATTGAAATGTCTACATTGCCTCCAATGGTCAAGTATCTGTCTGTTGTGAGCCGGTGTAGAGTCGGTTTGGCGATGTGACTGAGGTATTCCTGTTTTGTTCACATAAACCAACCATGATTAGGTGGCACAGAGCTTCAATATTCCAGTCTTGCAACTCATAACGTTTTTAATTCTGATGTTAGAACAGGGACATACTGTGCCCTCTGTTGAATCAAAGAAAATGGTTCCATATACATTGGACTTGACATTGTTCATAATTCACTTGCGACAAAAGAATCTTATTGAACAAAACTACTAGTTTGCTGTGTGTGATTATAATTCTCCGTAGAGTTGTCCAAGACTATTGAACACAACCAATTTTACTGAAATAGGAGGCACTAATAGTTTGCTGAATTGTATTATTGTTATAATGTTACGAAAAAGGGTGCCATGTGATTAGCCATTCTAATAAATATTCATTGCACATATATTGCGGAACTTTCCTAAGGGACATGCTCCACTTAATTGACTTTGATTTTGTATCTAACAGTAGGACCCGATAGATTATGGAATGCCTTATTTTTCCATTTCTGTTTCTAAATGCTCCTTTTCCGCTTCAAAAGTAAAGTCATTATAATAACTACAGATATTTTCAATAAATAAACTAAACGGGGAATATCATTGTGTATGCATCTGTGTATTTGTATTGCTATAATTATTATTTGTATCATTATTATTACCACTTTTTGGTTAATCATTGTTTTTTGTTATCATTATTATCATTATTATTAATATTATTATTATTACCATTATCAGCAATATTTCATTCTTCTTTTTACTCGTTTGTTTAACAATTTGTACTGATAAGGGAGAGATAGAGAGATGAAGAGAAGGGAGAAAAAGATAGAGGATAAAGGAAAAGAAGATAGAGAGATAAAGAAGAGAGGTTGTTTCCCCCGCAAGTGATTTTCTCTTCTAGAAGAATGTATTAAAGATCACATGAAGATATCTTGACAATCCATGTACCAAAAAGAAATATATGATAAATGTAATACTTCTGAATCATTACGTGATAAAATTCGAAAACATGTGTTGTGGTACCCTTGGTTTTAAGCAATTATATGACATTCATGCTAAGCTACATATAATCCAGACCCAGTTACTGGAAAATCCATGAACAATCTGAACAATCAGAAAAACAAAACATGTTTGCATTGGGAAAAGGTTGTTTCACAAACCCCTCTGTCTTTAATGTTTCTATTCAATACAAGCCAAGCCTTTCCAAAGGAATTCAATTTTGAAGACATATTATTAAATGCAATTTCTTTTAATATTTACTTGCATCAATATACAGTGCGTTGCAATTTCTATGTCACAGGTTCACTCCACCCCCACCCCACCCCCACCCCCAACACTCACGGCAACAAAGAAATAAGTTGACAATTTTGAGAGAGTTAAAATCAAAACAACATGAGTATACCACAGTTACTATGGTCTTATTCTACTTTTAGACAAGTACACGCATACACACACACACACGCACAAACAAAATGCACCTGCATACACATTTATTTAACAAATTATTAGGTGCCACTTTTTCTAAATTTTGAAACATTTTCATATTCTACAATGGAATAAAATCTGTACACAATGTGGGGATCACGATTTCTATCGGGCATACGGATACATAAGAAGAAGAGGAGAAGGAGGAGGAGGAGGAGGAGGAGGAGGAAAAGAAGAAGAAGAAGAGGAAGGGGAAGACAAATGAAGATGAAAAAGGAGGTGATATTACAAAGTACATGTAATCATTGTTAGAATATAGAAGGTTAATTAGGTCCTAGCCTTTCCTAAACCACTATCCTAATACCACAAGCATTCCGATGAAACCAATACCAGAAATTTAACTGAATTACATTACACTCAATTGAAATGTCGATAAACAGGTAATTTAAATGCAATCCATTTTCTATTCAATACAAATAATAATTATGTTTTCATTGCTATTGTCACTTTTAACTGTCTAGATGAGCATTAATTTACACACAGCACAATCCACGTAGATTTTATACCAGAATAAATATGTTCTCAATATTCACTCAAATTGAATATTTGTAAAAATGAAATTATTTCAATATTCAATATTGTTCTTGATAATGTCATATTGCCAAAGGTAGATAAAGTCAAGTTTCTTGGCGTTTATTTAGATAGTTCCTTGTCTTGGAAATACCATATTCACGAAGTTGAAAGTAAGGTGTCCAAAAACATTGGCATTATATCCAGACTCAAACATCTCTTGCCCAATCACATTCTACGTATGTTATATTGTGCTCTTATACTTCCATATTTGTCTTACTGTAATCTTGTTTGGGCGAATTCCTGCAAGTACAAAATACAAAAGCTTATACTATTGACTACTGCGGAAGAAGATTATTCGTATAATATCCGGAATGCACTATCGTTCCCATACTGGTCCCATCTTTAAACAAATTATTTTCTTGAGATGCAGTGATATTAACTTGCACCAACAGGGTATTTTCATGTATAAAAGCATGAATAACATCTTCCCATCACAATTTAGTGATTTTATCAATTTTAAATGCAACTCGGAAACCCATACGTATAATACGAGAAGCGCTGCCAACATTCATCTCCCGAAACATAGAACCCGAAGATTTCAATTTGACATTCGATACTCTGGGCCAAAATTTTGGAACACCTTACCACCTATTCTACACAAATCGCTCTCCTTGCAGACTTTTTCCCGTAAGGCAAAAATGTATTTAATTGCTCGATATTGATACCCTCTCTTGTATTTATGTGTGAAATTATCTTTTGTGGAATTTAATGATATGTTTGTATG